TAAAATCTTGTTAATTTTCTGTGGTGTTTATCACAGCAGTGTCTCTGTACGTGGCCCCTCCCACCAGAGCAGCACAAATGAAGACTTGTCTCTTTCCAAACGCTCTTAAAGGACGATCGTTTTGACTGTTGACCGTGACACCCTCATCAGAAAAATGTCCAACATGAGAAAAGTGGAGCCGAGTGCAGGATTTTCCAAGAAAAATTGACTTAGTTAATGTTGTAATGTTGTATTTTTCTTAAAGTTTCAGGTTGTTCATAATATTATAATATTTTGTAAAAGAAAGAGTTCATCAATTAAAAAAGATTTCTGTAATAGATTTGTGTTTCTCTGCACAAATATTTGAACTTATTGTTATTTTGGGGGTTTATATGACATGAGTTTTCTGATCCGGCCCCTTTGGGATCAAAGTCGGTTGGATACGGCCCCCGGACCAAAATGAGTTTGACACCCCTGGTTTAAACTGTTTTCTGCAATAGCATCACATGACCAGTGTCGGGGAGTAACAGATTACTCAGATTAGATTACAGATTAGATTTAGACCTTGTTTAGACCTGGTTTTAGACCTGGTTTGGACCTGGGTTTAGACCTGGTTTAGACCTGGTGTAGTGTCCAGCAATGACTGGAATTACTGGAAAAAAAAATAAAAAGAAAAAGGGATATAGCCCAAAATGTGAAAACAGAAAAATCCCTCTGTGTAATCCATTTATTTCAACAAAGTAACTGTAATCTAATTACCACTCACTTAAACAGTAACTGTAACTGAATACTCATATTAACTCATAATTTGTACTCTGATTACGTAACTCTGGTACATGTAATCTGTTACTCCCCGACACTGAACATTACATACACTCTGCAAAGGTCTCAGTGCAGTTTATCAGGAGGACTGGTCAGGTACGGTCAGCAGATCTGTGTCAGGGCACTTTGAGGAGTGGAAGAGCCAAAAGCGTCTCTCCTCTGTGTCCTGCAGCGTCGCAGCAGTGTCCGGGAGAACCAGGTTATGGGGAAGCTGGACAATGTGGCCTAAAGCAGGAGGTGGACTCAGAAAATTTTCATCGTCAAAAATTCATAGTCAAAAAATACATATTTACAAAAAGTAACTGTGTTAAAAGTTATAAAACTATGAAAAACCCACCTGTACCCGGCTACACTGATGCAAACTCCTCGAGAGGCAAAGCTGAACTCCTTTTATAGCTCCCTTCCTCCAGGTAACGCTTCATTCTGTTGCGCTCGGGACTCGGGGAAACCTGACCTCCCAGGGTATCCCCAGGTTTGACTACCCCAAATTTAAGACTTATTAAAGGTTGTATGGAGGATTTTTTTTGTTTCAAATTGTCAATGATAGATTATAGAGGTGCAGTAGCCTTGTAATTATGATGACCAAAAAAAGAGAATAAAAATTCATCAACTCTGGACGTGGTGGGGCTAAACATTTGCCAATAGATAACGACACTGCCTCGTTATCTGTGAGCTGACAGGCTGTCAATCAAACTCCCTACGTTTCTAGCGTAACTGACTTGCCTGCGCCGCCGGTTACGTGGTTTACGTACGACTGTCACGCAGTCCACAGACGCAAGACGCACAGACACTGTTTACTCCACCAACGCAACAGTTCTTAGCGGCTTTTTTTGACCTATATCTTCCTCGCAGTTCGCACAAAGTTTGTTGCAATGGCGACAAGAATCCAGGAGCAGTTCGCCGCAAAAGAAAGTCCGTTTTTGAGGTCGCTGAAAGAAGAAGACAAGGGGAAAAGCAGCGAAGCCAAACTAAGGTGATTCTTGTAGATTCATTCCAGCGATGGCGCGACTGAAGCAGACGAAGAGTCTAAAGACTGACGCACTGGTCCACAAATTACTCCTGGACAGGAAACTTCTGCTTATTATGAAAACGTACTTTATTTCCAAGAGCTAGACAAACGTTTTTCAAGACACAAATGTGATATCCTATGTCTGAAAACGTAATTTTCACTGCAAAGAAAGAGTCCGCTTGCTGCTGCGTGTTGTAGTAGTAGCTTCATTCACACTGAATCTCCGTGCACCCTTCTCTGCTCCCCTTACTGCTCCTCTCCTCGCTCCCCGTTTTGCTCTTCCTCCTGCTCCTCACTTCTTTTCCGCACACGAAATATCCGCGCACCCCCTCCCCCCGCTCCTCACTTCTCCACCTTGCCTAACCAACACTGTAGTTAGTTGTTTACAAGTCATGTGCAGCGATGAGGACTTGTTTTTCTCGAAACAAACCTGTTTCTGGCGTAAGGAGGAGGGAGGAGGCGTTTTTCTACGTAGGAGCTGTGGGGGAGGGGGGGTGGTTTCACGCATGCGCAACATTTGAAAAAGGACAAACAGTCGCTGGATTTCTCGTTCCTTGGAAAATCCTCTATGCAACCTTTAAAGACCTTTTTTAGACCACTTAAATGAAAATTAGGACCAACATCACACCCGTTACGCAGGCGAAAAACACCAGATCCAATTCTAATAATGACCATCCAACTACTGGTACTATATCTAGAATCTAAGAGCCACTGAGGATCAAACCTACACTTCCCCATGATCCATCCAACGTCTTCCTCCACTCTACTCATCGTTTACTCATTTCCGCCAGTGTCAGAAAGTATTTTTTGCGCATACTCCAAATTAGATGTTTGTTCACGTTGCATGAGTTCACGTTGTTTCCACTGAACATTGCACTGCAGCCCGGTTGAGTTTACAAAAAAAATAGGCTAATGAAATTTAAGACCTTTGTGAAAAAAATAAGACTTGGACAACAATTTAAGACTTTTTCAGGCCTTAATTTAGGAGCAGGAAATATATAGATATAGATTTATATATCATAAGAGTTCAGCAAAATATGTATTGATTAATCCATTTGAATTCAATAGCAACAGGGAGAAAACATTTTGCAGTCTCTGTCTCCATCTAGTGGCTCAAGGCTTAACAGCAACTTTTGTTTATAGAAATCAGAATATTTTCTTAGATGTAAAATGCAGCATTTTTAAACCAATAATATAAAATAAACATTTTGCCGTTTCAAATGTCACTTTTCAAGCTGAAAAGTCCGACCCTCAGACATGTATTCTGAGTGACTGCTGCATGTTTGAGTGATCCTGTGTACCTCTGTGTGCACGTACCAGAGGTAGGACCAAGTTGCAAGGTTTTGACCTCAAGTCCAAGTCAAGTCCCAGGTCAAATACAGGGAAGTCCAAGTCGAGTCTCGAGTCACTGGCCCATAAGTCCAAATATATCCAAATACAGCTTAGATTTTTGTAATTTCTATTATTTTTCAACAAAATTGCAGTAAATTTACTGCATAAATATTGTAAAAAAAAAATCATGGTATATTTATATATGAGTATTTAAATATCTTGACAAGATCTGTGAGTAGTAGTAGTTGTTCCCTCTGTTTCACTGTATTGTACTGTATATTACTGTAGTACATATGAGGATACACATCACAGTACTTCAGTTTCATCCAAAGTAACAACCACAGAAGTGGAAGGGACATTTTCCAGTTTGTTCTGTAAAATTCAGCACCACATGAACCAACTGTAAAGAGAAAAATATTTTCTAAAAACTTTTTTTTTTTAGCATCAAGTCTTCTCAAGTCACAGAGCTCAAGTCCGAGTCATGTCCCAAGTCAATGACCTTCAAGTCCAAGTTGAGTCCCAAATCTTCGTCCATTTTAACAAGTCAAGTCTCAAGTCCAAAAAACTGACTCAAGTCTGACTCGAGTCCAAGTCACGACTTGCAAGTCCCCACCTCTAGTATGTACAAGACCAGGAGTGTCAAACTCAAAATTAAAAACTGGGACTAAGTTGCGGGCCAAACTAAATATTTATTGAAAAATCTCAACATCTGCTTATTTTCTCTTCTTCTCTTCGAGATATGTAATGTTAAACCTTTTCTTATTAAATGTTTAATAATAGTTTTGCTTAAACACTGAATCCAGAACAAACTGAATATAAAATAATAACATTTTAAATAAATAAAGCCGGTGAGCAGCTCTAATACATATTTGATATGATCTCGTGGGCCAAATATAATTATATCACGGGCCAAATTTGGCCCCTGGGTCTGAGTTTGACATGTCTGTATTATAGGTTAAATCCTCCAGCTAAGTCCTGACCAAGACCAGCTCAAGTTCTGGGGCTGGGTCCATGAGCGCTGCAGTGCTCCCTGCTCCTGTGGAGAGGCCCCAAAGAAACTGAAGGATGGGCAAAAATACAGGACACATTTTCCTTCAGAGAGAATAAAGTGTATCTCAGCTTTACCTCCTCCCCCGCCCACAGCTCTGTACTCACTTGGACCTCTTTGAAAAGTTTAGACTAATACGGATCATACATGTCGTGAAGCAATTTTTCAAAATTTAAAACATGAAGGAAAATCTGCTTCTTGCTGCAGTGAAGAGCCATTCTTCAGACATGAGGTCAGCAGCTGAAAGTGCAGTTTTAAAAAGTTAGTTAATGGACGAGATTCTTTTCAGACCATCAATATGAACAAAACGTAAAAGTAGTAGTTTCTGAATTTCTATCATCTAGAAGAGAAGTTATTTTACAGCTGGGTTTCAGATGACGTCACAACTTAGTATAGGCCTGTTGGAGTCCATTTAAATTTATTTAAGACATTATTAATTTGATGAATTTTATATAATATTAAATTGCATTTTTTTACTATAGAATTTTTATTGTAGGTCATCCTGATCTCCTCTCCCCTCCTCTTGCAATCAGGTTCATCTTGTCACGTGTAGCAGCAGGACGGGGTAAGGCAGTGCCAGCAGAGAGAGGAGAAGATACTATTTTGTTTTATTTTTTACATGAGTTACAAACCTCAAACAAAAAGACCACAACGAGGCCAATCATTCTGAAAAATACGTACATCGTCGTGAATTTTTATGATGGCTCGCAGAGATCTTCGCTTATTTTACACCATTTTCCAATCAACCTGAATATCCCGTTATCGCCGCTCACCGAAATCAACTCCGCAACAAGGACTCGAAGGCACCAGTCTACGACATTTCACATTTTATTAGAAAAGACAGCAACAGTTCTCTTGACTATAATCACACATTGAAAATTAACACCCCGTCTGCAGTTTACAATGAGACCCAAATATCAGCTCGTCATCAGGACCCGACCGCGCCAACCTGAACCTCCACTGTGTCCTAGGAATCCTTATAATGCAACTATTATACAGTTTGTACATCATATGCTTTCATTTCTGAGCAGAACATAGACAGAAGATTAAATAGGTCATCGTGAAGGAACAGCTAGAGCGGTGAAAATATCAGGAACTCGAGACTCCTGACGTTTGTAGTTAGACGTTGAAGTTATTGCAGGCGCTTTTGGACTTGCTTCGAAACGTATTTTTCTTACACCAAACAAAAACTCTGTCCTTGAAATCAGAAATAAATTACAAAAAGGCCAATAACTTTGCTTAAAACCAGAACATATGAATCAGTCTTATTATGCAATTCCAATCCCGACGAGTTTCCCGTAGCCCCCAACCCTTAAATTAACCTTTTTTTAATTTTTTAATCATTTGAAGTTTTACATCCAGCGAGTTGTTTTTGGGCACTTCTTCGTGGAGTCAGGTTGGGGTGGGCGACAATTTTTTTCCATTCGTGAACCCTTGGCTTTATAGTATCTTCTACAAGAAATAAAAGCTTAAAGTTTCTTCAGACTTCATTGTGATTGGACAAACTCACCCGTCAATCACTCATAACCAATGTGAGTGGACGTGGAAAGTTTGAGAGCGTAGAACTATGACGAACAAAAAAGCACCGACTCCCGAGAAGTGTTTTTAAGATTAGAACTGCGTTGTGCATTAGATCGCCCACCCCGGTACGTAAAAGCTGAACGAGCCGTTGTAGAAAACACTAAACAAATATAAATGTACATGATGAGACGGTGTGACCCCTCGGCAGAATGTAGAAATTTAAATTAGAGCCTATGACGGACGCGGGAGCACACGTGGGATTTGTTCAGTCTCTTATGTATTATATTATGATGATTCTTGCTCCTCGCGCCAAACCCCAGCCGGCCCGCAGTCCCGTTGTCTTGGAAACAGCCAGACAAAGTTCAAAAGGTTACTGCTGGCCTTCCTTCTTCTCTCCTTCCGTCGAGCCGGAGCTGGAGGAGCCGCTGCTGCTGTCGCGCTCTGCCGCCATCTGCGGGGACACAAACGTACAAAGGTCAGGGTCAGGGGTCAGCACAGTGCCAAAAAACTTGAGTAGAAGTGTGCAAAAATATGGAAACATCAATATATCGTATTGTTTAATGTGATACAGTATCGGTATCGTGGGCTGCTGTATCGATATATATCGCCAAGAGCATTTTTTTGGTATATTTTACTAAATTATTTTGTTACAGTGCTACAGTTTTGTTACTTGTTCAGAGGAAGGAAACTCATTTATGCAGCAGATTGGACATTTTCACTGTTTTGATGATTAAAATGTTTGTGAACTTTGCCCAAGAAGTGGTTTAACAAAAACTTAGTCTTTATTTTTTATTGAACCATATCGAAGAGATTTGAAATACATCGAATCATATCATGGCCTATGTATCCAGATATGTATCGTATCGACAATTGATCCTTAGTCCAGGCGTCCATGATCCATTGACAGATGGTGGCGTAATTCGCCCAGCGTTGCCTCCCTGTCTTGCTGAATGTGTACTATGAATGTGAATGGATCATTTAAGTTTGGATTTTTATTTCCTACGAGGACGACTCAAATATACACTGAGTAATAATGTGTAATGCAGCTGTGCGTACATTTGTTTACGTTTTACAGAAACGAAACTTAAAACCACATGTGCTGCTGATGCAGAGTCTGTTCTGTGCTTCTATCACATTGGAGATGGTTCATGTGAAACTCATGTGATTATACTGCATTTTTTGGAATATAAGTCACACTTTTTTCCATGGTTTGGGTGATCCTGCGACTTATATGAACATTTTTTTTGACTGACAGCAGCGAGAGAGGGCGCTCTATAGACATGTGTATCAGTTTTCTGCACCTGTCTCCTGCAAGTAGTGAAATATTCAACTGAAAACGGTAATCGAGCAACACAAAAAGTTTGGAGTGAGCGAGAAACTTGTGAGGGACTGGACCTGGAAAAGGACTGGAGTCACTGGATGGATGGACAAAGTCTGGACTTCAGTGACGAGCAAAGTTGCGTTATGTTGTTTAAGCTATAATTATCTGAAGAACTGTTCATATGTGACATTAACATACCAGACGCCTGTTCAGTCTGTTGTTCTTTATTGTATTGTTATTACTATAACTTGACTTTCAACATGAAATGTTGGTTCCTGGACCTTGAGTTTATAAAATAAATTTCCCCCAAAAAGCGTGACTTATAGTCCAGTGCGACTTATAGTGCGAAAAATACGGTAAGTCCAGATATATGAATGGACATATACTCTGACATATACTCCACGAGGCTCCTGACTACAGTAGCTCCGACAATCCATCAAGTGGTGCGACTTCATAGTTTACCAAAGTCGTACTAAAACATTCTGACAGATTTTTGAGCACCTTGTACCACATAAAATCGGTTCGAGGTCAGTAAACACAACCACAATTAATACATAGGATGCAATTTTGAGAAAATTAAAGGATTTTAAGTCCGAAAAATACAGTAAATATTTTTCTACGTGATACGGCAAGTGCGTCAAGTAACTTCTAGTAGAGGTTTTGTAACAATACAATTTCAATATTTATTTCACGATATATTTTTTGTGATATTGTGGAGATGCCATCACAGGGTGTCAAGATTTTAAAAATCAAAAACTGGGACATCTTCGGTTTGTGGTGGTTGGTAATAATTGTGAAACAAGTGCATAATTAAGGAAACTAACAGTCAGTATAGTCACATTTTCTTTGTGTTTTGGTCGTTTTTAAGCAGCTTTTCTGTATTTTACCTAAACAAATGACAATGTATGCCCCCTTTACTGGTGGCAGGGATCAGATTGGTCAAAAATAGGGACACTTGGGACATTTCTTGCATAAAATTGGGACAAATCACTGGTTTTGTATAAATCTACTGGGACAGGAGACACAAGAGTCAAAACTGGGACTGTCCCGGGTAAACAGGGACGTCTGGACACTCTATGCTAACAGAATTTTCCTTGTAAAACACCTCGACACGCCTTTGGGGCTGTATTACTGTCAACACCCAAAGAATTAAGTCATAGAACTCTTCCAAGTTTTTTTTGCATTGAAATGGAACAAAATATCAGGATCTTTGTCGTTTCCTCCATTGCTGTTGCTGCAGTAAAACTATTAATTTAAGCAAAGAAGGTTATAATTCCATATATTGTGCGATATTATTGTGAGAACTTCAACGATACAACATCACGACATTTTGGTTATCGTCACATCCCTAGTAATCAAGCTGTTTTCTTGTGTTCAGACCTTCTTGTAGGCCATCTCGAAGAGTTTGAGCGAGGCCTGCTGCAGGTTGGACGCCGCCTGCTTGATGTTCTCGCCGGTCTCAGAGTCTTTGTTGGTCAGAAGGTCTCGTACTTTGGTGATCTCCTCCTTGAGCTTGGCGCACTGCGGAGCACACCAGAACACACGTTAGACCTGAACTAAAACGATAAAGTCAAAGTAAATGTTCAGACGTGTACCTCGTCTGCGGGGAGCTGGTCTTTGAACTCCTCCATCTTGGATTCTGTGTCGTGGATGATGCCCTCGGCCGTGTTCACAGCCTCCACTCGGTCCTGCACACATCACGGCTCACGTTAGTCGTACTACACACCAGTTTTCTAGATTAATTTATCTGTACATGAGGATTTTTTTCAAGTTAAGAGAAGCAGAGAGCAGAAAAACAACCAAAATCTCATCGACAAAGACTTGATAGTTTGGGTAAAATGAACTGGACTTGACATGTTTGGGTCAGTCACCTTCCTCCTGCGGTCCTCCTCGGCATACTTCTCGGCGTTCTTGATCATGTTCTCAATGTCGTCTTTGCTCAGACCTCCAGACGACTGGATCACAACTGCACACAAACATCTCCCGTTAGACAGAAGCTCAAGAGCGGGATCGTCCCGTCTCAACAAAACGCGTCAGAACGGTGAAGGGCAATCCGTGTATCATCCGTTCATTCGTTTTTCAAAATAAAACCAAAAATAAGAAAACAAAAAAACTGCTATTTTCTTCATTATTTGTCTCCAAAACCAAAATGGAAAAAAAAAAAAAAACAGATAACGATTTGTTTTTTCAGTTTTGTGTTTAAATGAATAATGGCAAAAAAAAAGGATAACTAAACCAGGACTAAACCAGGACTAAACCAGGACTAAACCAGGACTAAACCAGGACTAAACCAGGACTAAACCAGGACTAAACCAGGACTAAACCAGGACTTGGTGTCTGGACGGGTCCGGAGGCGCACCCGAGTAGACTGTCTGGTGATCAGGACTGACACTGGGACTGGACCGGGACCAGGACTGAGACCAGTTTAGTCCTGGTTCAGTCCTGTTTCAGCCCATTATCCATTTTTTCCATTATTCACTTAAACACAAAATCGAAAACTGGAATAAAAAAAAAAAAAAAAAAATAAAATTAAAAAAATCGCTATGTTTTGTTTTGTTTTTTTTTTCATTTTCATTTTGGAGACAAATAATGAAGGAAATAGTTGTTTTTTCGTTTTCTTATTTTTGGTTTTATTTTGAAAAGTGAATGAATGAATCATATACGGATTAAGAGCTGCTCTCAAGTTTCACGTCCATTATTTAAAGGTGCACTATGCAACTTTTCTGATGAAGGGTCCATCACCTGTTTGTTTCTATGCTGATTTGATAAGAATATTCTCGATAAAGCAAAGTATGGCATTAAACTTACACTACCAGGGAAAGTTACAAGTCAGATGATGTTTTTTCACAGCAATAGGTGCTCTGATTATAAAACGCACCGTCATTGAATGGTCTATTTTCTAACTTTGTTCACAGATAAGCAGCACCGGATTATAAGGGGCATTAAACGAAACACTCGGACCTCAGTTGATACTGATCCTTAGCCTAGTCGTCCACGATCTGTTGGCAGATCGTAAGTCGCTCGGCGCTGTCTCTCTGTCTTGGTGAATGTGTGTTCTCCTTCTCTCATCCACTGCTCCCACGCAGCTCGCACTTTCACGTTATAACAGCCTTGAGTTTAAAGTGGGCGTTGTGAGCGTGTCTCTTGACAGGTGCATTTTGATATTAAAAGGAATCACAGTGTGTATTACTCCACGATGCTCCTGACTACGGGAGCCGTAATGCTGCAAGTGGTGCGGCTTGTAGTTTACTAAAGTCGTACTAAGACACCCCAATAAATTCATCTATAAAGTGCTTTGGATTATAAGGCGCGCAGTCATTTTCTGATGAAATTAGAGGCTTAAGTGCGCCCTATAGAGCAGAAAATATGGTACTAACATTTAAAATGTGATTTTGATACTAAGGAATAGCCTCAATTCTCATTTTAACCACAATGATAAGACAGTTTTTTGTTTTTTTTTGTTTAATTACCATGTGGTTTTAGAGTAGTTCTTATAAAGTTCAAGATTATTCTAAAACTGTTTGAGAAATGTCAAACGGTGTCCTGTTTGGGTTTAGTGATTATGAAAGAAAAAAAACAGTACTTTTCCTCATCCTATAGATGATTTTACATCAACCTGCCGAGGGACTGAAGATGGAAATTAGCCACGTTGGCTATAATCTTTGCATATTTACATTTTTAATGTTCATTAATATGTACTGTCCCTTTACAAATAAATAAAATAAGAAATAAGAAATAAGTTTCAAAACTACACTCTCATTTGTCCAGTCTCTATCAAAATACACTCGGATTGTCAAATGTTGAAAAAATTAAATGCAAAAAAGCCAGACTGTAGATTATTGAATGCAGATAAGTTTCATAGTAGACCTTTAAACTCCTGAAGCAGATGATTCTCTTTACAGTTTGGTGTCAGTATTTGGACTCACTCTGCTGCTCGCGGCCCGTGCCCTTGTCTTTGGCGGACACGTGCACGATGCCGTTGGCGTCGATGTCGAAGGTGACCTCGATCTGGGGCACTCCTCTGGGAGCAGGGGGGATGCCCACCAGAGTGAACTGCCCCAGGACCTTGTTGTCTGCGGCCATCTCCCTCTCGCCCTGGCACACCTTAATCTCCACCTGCGTCTGGCCGTCCGCTGCCGTCGAGAACACCTAACGCACGAAACGAGAGGATTTTACAGACTTAGTCCATGTGCAAAATGAGCATCACTCACTCCTGCCCTGTACCCCGATTTTTTTCCCCTTGTGTTTAAGCAAAATTTGTCTTGCTCCAGTGCAAACTCTTGAGGTTAAAGTAAGTTCATCATATTTCATATCATTGTTGCACTGTCTTCCTATGACCTCTTGTATAAAAGCTGTGATTTTTATATTTTATTACATATCTTTCCATTTTATTTTTACTTGTACATATACATTTATATTAGTATGTCTCATTTGACACTCGTCTCTCTTGCCATCTTCTTTTGCTACTTATTTAGAATATATTTTAACCATTTATATTTTGGCTCTTAGTTGCTCACACATCACAATAATATAATAACAGTGTCCAATCAATTTCCCTTGTGGACCAATAAAGTCTAAATCGATGTCCACTGTGTATTGTCTAAATATAATTATAAAACAATGTACTGCCCGATAATTAAGGGTGTGCAAAAATAACTAAATATATCGTATCATTTAATGTGATGATACAGTATTGATATATCGAGTATTTTTTGGTATATTTTACTAAATAATTTTGTTACAGCGCTACTGTTTGTTACTTGTTTAGAGGAAGGAAACTCGTTTATTTTCACAGTTTTGATGATTAAAATGTTTGTGTTTCATATGAACTTTGCACAAGAAGTGATTTAACGAAGACTTTTGGGTCTGTGTACCATCCGCTCTTTTGAATTTCAATTAAGAACGAAAAACAATAAAATGGGAAAACAGTTTGTTATCTCATTATTTCCTTTTAGTGTCAAATAAATAAAATAAAAAATCTGATTTCGACCTTCATTTCCAAAATTTAGTTTATTTCAAATAACACCAATCAAAAAACAGTCTCAGTGCCTATTTCAGTTGATATTTTATTCTCTCTGGTTTATTTGTCCTGGAAGTTCTGCTGCTCAGCGCACCAAGGGTGAATTCAATGTCAAACATGGATCTATAATAAAAAGTATTTTTATTATAGTTCTGTGGTGTCAACTGAACAAAGGAGAGTTTATCACTGCTTCCTGTTTCTCATCATGGAATTCAACAATGACTTTCTAAGATGTGAAAGTAAACGCTATAAAAGACAACGACATGTTTGTCCACAAAACTGCAACGATTTTTCAGGCAAGTCCGTCTAGCAGCAGAACTTCTGGGACATATAAACCAAACTGAAATGGGCCCTGAGACCGTTTTTTAATATAAACTTTAAATTAAATATTGGAAAAAGAGATCGAAATCTGTTTTTTGTTTGACACTAAAACGGAATAATGAAAATATGTGGTACCTGGCTCTTCTTGGTGGGGATGGTGGTGTTGCGGTTGATGAGCTTGGTGAAGACCCCTCCCAGAGTCTCGATGCCCAGGGACAGAGGGGTGACGTCCAGCAGCAGCACGTCCGTCACGTCCCCGGCCAGCACACCGCCCTGGATGGCCGCCCCGATGGCCACCGCCTCGTCGGGGTTCACAGACTTACTGGGGGCTCGGCCGAACAGGTCCTGGACCGTCTGCTGGACCTGAGGGGGACCGGGGAGAAGGGGTTACACGTGAGCAGAAGGTTCAGTCACTACATATGATCGTGAACAGAGATGGTCCCATATTGGAATTCTGTATATGGGAATCCTTTCTGAGTCCTTGGTACCTTTTGATTTTTACGAGTAACTTGGAAAACAACCCACAAGTTAGAGTCCAGTTTTGACTTAAAGAGCCATTAAACACCCTCCTGAAGCTTTACTCCGTCCCTAAAGAAAATCTGAAAAATCCTCCAGAGTGGGCGGTGCCGGCGGGTTGGGGGCTCTGGAGCGATGATTGACGGCCAACCGGCAGCCACAACAATACAACACGGCATGGACCGCTCTGGACTTTGAAACAGAGCGGGCATTTGTGCTCGGATCACGCCGTTTCCCTTTTCTCCAGACACGGTGGGACATTACGGTGACCAGCGGTGCTAGGTCGGGTCGGGTCTGAGGGGGGCTCCTCACGTATCGCCCGTAAACGCCAGTGGCTGCTCTCGTCACATAATAACCTGCGTCTGACTCACTGGCGGCCGTTAGTCCAACCCAAAAATTCAAATGTACTGGCCGCAGTTGGTCCTAAAGTCCTAAAGAGGCCGCTACAGACGCTGCTTTGGACCCAAAAAGTCAGATATTTAACAAATATGCACTAAAACGCCAAAATAAGGCCAGGGATAGGTATACATTTCTATTTTAGCCAACCCATTTAAACAGATAATCAGTAGAAAAAAAGTGATTCTGGTGTTTAGTGGCCCTTTAAGATTCAAAGGAGCAATTACTTCACTTGGAAATCAGATTTGGACTCGGGGACTTGAATAGCTGCTTTCAATAAATGAAAGCTGGAACAATAGATTTGAGATCAGTTATTTATCATGGGTACTTTTTCTTTGCAATAGTGACAAGATTTTACCCATTTTTAATCCAACGCGGTGAGATTTGAGCTGTAGAGCATGGAATAACAAAGTAAACATTACAGCTACGTTCAGACTGCAGGGCTTAATGCTCAGTGCTTAATTCTTGTGAAATCTGATCTTTTTTCGAAGTCGTTATCGTGATCTCCAGAGTGAACTTCAAACTCCCCACAGCGGGCCTGCTCAGTGTTTACGGAAGTCACTTAAACATGAACGCAGCTTTGAGCGCCTGGCAATTTTAAACATCTACACCTTATTTGTGGCTTTCTTTCAGTTTCCGCCTACTTCAGCGCAGAACGGTGACATTTGTGTGGGTGGGATGAATGTGACCTGGCCGTTCAGACTGAAGTCGCATGTCAAAAGATCAGATATGTATCAGTTTTAGGACATATCCAAGTGGCCTGAGTTGCATTTGAAAAATCTGATCTGTGTCATTCAGACTGTCATTAAAAGATCAGATACAGGAGCACAGGGGAGATAAAACTGATTTGGGTCACTTCAGGCTGCAGTCTGAACGCAGAAGTATAATAAATACTATGGCTCATCATCAGTTCATTGTGCCAATTATCTGTTGCACTTCAGGCTTTTTAATGTTACTGTAAAATTTGGTTTAACATATTTGTTAAAGTCAGTAAGTTTAGGGGCTATGGCTTTCAGCTTTTGGCGTGGGGCCTATGATTGGGACGGGAAATCCAGGTGTTCGTCTTGTTCTGTTTTGTTCTATTTGTGTGTGTCTTGTCTGTCACACTTGTCTGTGTCTTTTGTCAGAGTTGGCCCCGTTTTGTTTTTATTTTTAAATTACTGTTATATTTTGTATATTTTTTTTGTCAGTGTGGTTTAATCTTTGGTTGTAATTTTTGTTGAATATTATTATTGTTTTTTATGTGTGTTTAGCGTTTAATTTGTTGTGTTGATGTCTGTCTGGTTGACTAAGATTATTACCGTATTTTTCGGACTATACGTCTCACTTTTTTTCATGGTTTGGGTGTTTCCTGTGATTTGTACTCTGGTGCGACTAATATATTAATATTTTCAGACTGACAGCCGCAAGAGTCTCTAGTCTTGTGTGTCAGTATCTGCTGCTACTATTACTCCTGTACCACTGTCCCTTGGCTCTACTGCGCATGTCTCCTGTATAAAAAGTCGCTGTGCTGCTGCAAAAAGCCGAAAACGGTAATCGAGCAGCAGAAAGAAAGTTTGGAGTGAGCGAGAAACTTGTGAGGGACTGGTGGGGATGGAGAACACAGCTTCACGTAGTCACTGGATGAATCAACAAAGCCTGAACTTAAATGGCAAACGAAACCATCCTGTCGGGTTTCAGAAAGGTCAGAATAATTCTAACTGGAACTGATGCTGAGTCTGATGACAGCTACACAGAAGAAGCGGCGCTCTGTTTACCTCATGGATCTATGGTTTGTCTCCGGAGGTCGCGCAGAAGTGACACCGAGGACGAAGAATTCAACGGATTTAGTGATTTGGAGTGAGATCGTGAGTTTAGTAAACTTATGTTCTGTTGTTTATGCTATAATTATCTGAATAACTGTTAATATTTTACGTTAACATATTAACGCATATTCAGTCTGTTGTTCTCTGTTCTATTGTTTTTACTGTAACTTGCCTTTCAAGATGAAATGTCTGTTCCTGGTCTCTGATTTTATAAAATACATTTCCCCAAAAAGTGCGATTTATGTTTTTTTTTCTGCTTCGTTGCACATTTTTTGGCTGGTACGACTTGTACTCCGGAGCGACTTACAGTCCGAAAAATACAGTATATCAGAGATTCAATATTATCGTTTAAGGCAATATTTTTCTGTAGCGATAAATTGTGCTTCAACAGACCACGACACTGCTGCATTCACCTTGGGCATCCTGGACATGCCTCCGACCAGCAGCACCTCTCCGATGTCTCCCTTGGACACCTCGGCGTCCTGCATGGCCTTCTGACACGGGGCCACGGTGCGCCGGATCAGGTCGGCCACGATGCTCTCGAACTGGGCGCGGGTCAGCTTCATGTTCAGGTGCTTGGGCCCCGACGCGTCCATGGTCAGGTACGGCAGGTTGATGTCGGTCTGAAAACAGGAGAACTTGTCACGACTGTACTGCAAAAGGGTTTGTACGAGCACCAGACATGTGCGGAAATGAAGTGTGTAAACATGCGATAGTCAAAATGAATGATAGTAGTAGGGTTGGGCGTAGGGATGTAACAATAACCGAAATATTGTGATATCGCATCGTCAAAGTTCTCACAGTAATATTGTGGAGTTATGATGCAACAATAGCTAAAAAGAGACTACATAGACCATGATCTTTCCATTTCAGTGTAGACTACAAGAAGAAATAACAGGTCGAAGCACCTTGTTTTTTGGATTAAGTCTTGTCAAGACATTTTAAGTGGAAAAAGTAGCATATTAACAGTTTTGTTAGTCTTCACAAAAATACTGCAATAAATATCGTGCCATGAGATGTATATCATGAAAATATTGCGTAAATATCCTGAGAGATTTGGATATTGTTACATTCCTAATCGTGAGCCTCCCCACAATATCACAATCGTATCGTGAGACTTGAATATCGTTACACCCTTACACCAAATTGTTACTGCGAAGCCGCATCACTATATGGTCTATGTGTATGACCTGCAGACATATAATCTCTGAAAAGAGAAACGCGAAGAACACACTCACTCATCAGCACACCCTCTGTCACAGAGAGAACACTCATATTCCACCGAGTCGTGTCCTTTAGTCCGACAGAAGCTGAACCGCATCAGCGCACAAGGAAAGAGCTGTTCTTTATCAGCGCTTTATAGTTTATGCAAATTAGCCATGTGGTTTTAAGTTTCGTTTCTGTAAAACTTAAACGAATGTCATAATCCACATTCACCAAGACAAGGAGAAGAGTTACGCCACGATCTGCCAATGGATCGTGGACGCCTGGGCTGAAGGATCAGTGTCAAGTGTAATAATCAAAACACTAATAATAAAAAGAACAATAAATAGCAAATGCAGTACGCTCAGTTGATTTATTTACCCGTCTCCCTTGTCATTCGGCCTGAAGCCAAAATGCTTCCAAATTGCATTTTTTTGTCAACTTATGAATAGTTTTGTATCTTGTTTTTGTTTCTGACTAGGGCCCGGGAGAGATCGCTAAATTACTGACTCATGCAGGAATGTTTTTAATGAGGGAGCATTATGCAAAACCAACTTCAAGGAGATTTCCTCCATGTTATAATAACTTCTTTAACAAGAAAGACTAATGCAGGCCTGCAGAAGAAGCCACAAATAAATGAACAGTCCATTTGTGTTGTAGTTGTTGAAGGAGGTTTGCACAGAGCGGTGTAGTGTGGTCTCACCTGGAGGGAGGAGGACAGCTCACACTTGGCCTTCTCTGCAGCCTCTCGGACCCTCTGCAGAGCCATGTTGTCCTTCAGCAGGTCCACCCCAGTCTGCACAACAGCGTGTCATGTTAATATTTGTAAAGCTCATAGTAATATTACATGATTTAAATATAGTTACTGCTAGGGATGGGCATGATTAGTCCACTAAACGATACTTGATCATTAAGAATTTCGTTGATTACGTTCAGTTTTAATAGACAAACCAAATACAGGTTGCTGTGCATAGCGAAAGGAGAAAAGGCTGCGTCTGACAGCGGCCTCACAGTCCCAGCAGTAAACCGGTCTCGCCATTGTGCATGTATACACAGTCTCCCCGTTACTGCCACATCAAGAGCTCCACTAAACCTGCACACCTACGATCTCTGAAAACATGAACCATCTCCAACACACAGAACCACCTCACGATCAGCACCGTCAGCATCCCTCTGTTGTGTCCTTTAGTCCGACAAAAGCTGAAACGCAGCAGCGCACAAGGAAAGAGCTGCTTTTGGGTTTTTTTGCTTATAGCTTATGCAAATGAGCCATGTGGTTTTAAGTTTTGTTTCGGTAAAATGTAAACAAATGTGTCAAAGATGCATTAACTCTTTCCCCCTTGGACGCCAACTAGGATAAACCCAGACATATATTATTAGGGCTACACCCATAGAGCATAACTGTATAAAAGAAAACTGACTTTACATTTACAGGTTTATAACAGCTCACTGAAAATGAGAGTTTACCTGGTCAGGTGCAACAACAAAAAAAACACATTCAGCATCTGATATATGCATGTTCTGAGTATTATATTCATAAAAAATGTAAAAAAAAACTATATATACTTGTCAAAGTATTTAAACAGATTTCATATCACCAGATACAGTATAGCCAAGTGTACACCTGTTTGTACCTGTTGTTCACCTGTGTGCACCTAAATAGTTTTTTTCCTTTTAACTTATTCAACTAATTTAGCTTATTACAATATAATAATAAAACTTTCCCGTCAGTGGGTGTTCAGTATTTGTCATCTTGGTTACTTCCTCACGCTCTGCATAAGTGTTTGTTTCTGTAGTAATTCTGTCATACATCTCATCTTGGGGGAAAAAAAAAAGACTGAAATATTTCAAAGGACTCGTCTGAGCAACATCCAGATTTCGGGGCAATTTTTGTCCATAATCGAGTATAAAGTCCCCAATAATTTGTTCGGATATCGCAGGAGTCCACACAGATGCATCACTGGCATTCTCATCTTATTTCACTCTCTGACATTTCGTCGCTATTGTTGTTTTCCACTTTATAATCAACTTCATCATCATTTTGAAATCTATAAAAGTCACTTTCTCTAAACTTATCCATAAAATACATCCACTCCTCATTATTTCTAAAACTGTGTGCCGCAGCGCCGCGATCTTTCAATTGAACGTGTTTGGTGTTGTGTTTTTTCCAGAAGCTACAAATCGTCACTACTTCAATTAACTTTGAAAAAAAGAAATCAGCGAAAACCTATCCTTGAATCCTATTGGTCAGTCTAGTGTGGGTTGTAGTGGCCCCACCTATCACAGCCTCTGTTTACATGTGAAAAACCGAGCCGTTTCTAATGGTCGTCAAATCACGTCTTAATGAAACAGCGGAGGTGACAAAACACGTCATTAAGAAAACAAAGGGGGTCGTCAAATGTCGTCTTCATGGGGGAAAGAGTTAAACACATTATAATCTCAAACGGGCTGATGTGGCTCTGTAGTGTTTATGGTTTATATGTTGTGAAGCTGAGTTTATTTATGCAGATTTGTAATAGTAATAATGATGATAATTTTAACATAAAAACGTTGACGATTAATCGAAAATCAATCATCAATTCTCCCGACGATCGATTAAAAAAATGCCCACCCCTAGTTACTACAGAGAAAAGTACATTTTGTTTAATTCTGACAATATTGTAATACTTTTAATAGATTGAAAAGATCAGATTTCTCCCAGCAGAGGTGTGTATTCTTCGGTTACATTTCTCAGTTACACTTGAGTAACTTTTTAAAGAAAGTGCACTTTTCAGACTGCACTTTTACTCCTACCCAAGTAATTTTTATTTATTGAAGTAACAGCACTTTTATCTGAGTTAAGGATTTGGTAAGTCTACAAGTGACAACCACTCCTTCAGATTTACTTTGTCTCATTTCTGTCTATCCTTTGAAAACACCAGGTTTTGTGCTTTATTTATGTTTTGTCCTTGTAATTATATTAAATTATAAACTCAGATGGCACGCTTCAACAGTTACTAGTAGTTTACCCAAACACATTTTTATTCTTAACCATTTCTTTGTGGTTATTTTTTTAAAGTAATATTACTTTTAGTACTATTTTTGGCTACTCTACCAACCTCTGCTCACATCTCTACACTGCAGTCAGCGTTCAAACCTCCAGCTAAACCTCTGGATAGTGTACCTCTCTCTTAAACTCCTTGACGATGTGGCGGAGCAGGTGCTGGTCGAAGTCCTCTCCTCCCAGGAACGTGTCTCCGTTTGTGGACTTGACCTCGAACACGCCCTTCTGGATCTCCAGGACGGAAATATCAAACGTGCCCCCGCCCAGATCGTACACAGCGATGCTACAAGAGAGAGACGCTTTCAGTTTCACAGCGAGTAAGGGTTAATTACAATATTGTTGAGTATATGAAAGCTCAGTATTTGTAGTGTGTATATTTTTGGGCATTTTTATGTAATAATGTAAGATTTGAGTTGTAGCGGGTTGAATGAATAACTTTCTATGGCTAATTATTGGTTAATTCTGACACTTATTTGTTTAAAGACACTGTGTATTAGTGTTGCTCCGATCCAGATATCGATACCTTAGTGTACTCGCCCATACCGATACCATTTCAATACCACATAGTGTGAAGAAATAGACTAAGGCTACTCAATTTTGTTCAGAGCAATATATAAATATATTAAAAGGCCAAAATCTAGGAGAATAAATTCAATTTTGAGAACATACAATGATCTTGGCCATAAGTACTGCTGATTTAAGCACTTATACTTTTCTAATTTGTTACTTTCTACCTCAGTAATGGATAAAACCAACAGTGAGGCCTGTAAAAAGACGCTCATCCTCAGAGCACATGGATAATTCTGCAGAGTAAACAAAGTCAGACTTAACGCTGTTGTCGGGCTGCACTCTCCGCAGCGCAGTTTTTCTACTAAGCTGAGCGTCCACACTGGAGCTAAATGAAGGGATCAAAATGTCTTTTCTGTCATTATCAGCTGGTTTTAAGTGTCTGCAGAGGCTGCATACTCTATTTAACCTGCTCTGGGAGTTAGTGGTAGTATTAACCATCAAGGTAAACAGCGGGCAGGCTCGCACCTGCCAGTCCTCACTGAAAAATACAGAGTGGTCGGTGATATGGCCTGAGTAGTGCAGTATCTGAGCTTTTGCTGTTACTAGGGCTGTCGCGATAACCGCAAAAATGAATCACTGCAGTACTAAGAGGCCCAACGCGATCACCGCATGTGTAAACCCTAAACCCGTAAACCCTGACCCAGAAGTAAACCCTGTAAACCCTAAACCCAGGTAAACCCACTTTTAAACCCAGGTAAACCCTAAACCCAGGAAACAGAAGTAAACCCAGTAAACCCAGGACAGAAGTAAACCCAGAAGTAAACCCAGAAGTAAACCCCTAAACCCAGGACTAAACCCAGGAACTTAAACCCAGAAGTAAACCCAGAAGTAAACCCAGGACAGAAGTAAACCCAGAAGTAAACCCAGGACTAAACCCAGAAGTAAACCCAGGTAAACCCAGAAGTAAACCCAGGTAAACCCAGAAGTAAACCCAGGACTAAACCCAGGACTAAACCCAGGACTAAACCCAGAAGTAAACCCAGGACTAAACCCAGAAGTAAACCCAGGACTAAACCCAGAAAAAACTAAACCCAAACTAAACCCAGAACTAAACCCAAACTAAACCCACCAACCCAGGACTACACTAAACCCAGGCCACTAAACCCAGGACTAAACCCAGAACTAAACACCAGGAGAACCGTGAGAATTACCCAACATAATAAATAGATATCTGTTTATCGCTGTATTTCCCTGCGGCGATATATCGTGCTTTAAAAAAAATGTGTTATCATGAGCGGTCTCGCCCTACGCGGTCGCCCTACGCGCCTCGCCCTACGCGGTCTCGCCCTACGCGGTCTCGCCCTACGCGGTCTCGCCCTACGCGGTCTCGCCCGGAGCGCTCACATTTTGTCCTGGGTCTTGTCGAGTCCGTAGGCCAGAGCGGCGGCAGTGGGCTCGTTGATCACGCGGAGGACGTTCAGTCCGGCGATCTGACCCGCGTCTTTGGTCGCCTGAAACAAAAACACGTGGAGGAGGAACATTAACGGCCGTGCATAGCTGCTTTTGTAAATCAAGAGCGGCTTTAATTTGAACACTTTAAAGCTGCAACTGTGTGTAACTTTTCTGTCATTATGCTTTTCTCCATGCATGTGTTATTGCCTTGTCTGGAATGTTTCACAGTATGGGATTAAACTTTTCTATCTTCATGGAGATCAAACCAGAGGAGGTTACAGGTCAGCTCTGTGGAGAGGCGACCCCGCTCACAGTCAGAACGCCTGTTTTTCTAGGTATTTTGAGCTATAAAACCACCTGTGGTTGAATAAATGTACAGTAGAGCCGTTTGAAGTCATACTGTGGAATAATTCCAGGCAGAGCAATGAGGTGATGGACGGAGAGAATTCGAGACTCTGGGTTGATCTTTGAGGGCTCACTACAGTCTCGTGTATTAATGGGAAACACTGTACAACGTCACATTAAAATACCTGTCTCTGGGAGTCGTTGAAGTAGGCGGGCACAGTGATGACCGCGTTCTTCACACTAGTGCCGAGGTAACTCTCTGTTTGACAAAAACACACACACATTACAACTCCAAACCTGACCCGCACAAAATGAGACCATCTCTACAGTAAATGCACATGAGCTTAGCCGTACCTGCCGTCTCCTTCATCTTCATGAGCACAAAGGCCCCGGCCTGACTGGGGGAGTACATTTTCCCGTGAGCCTCCACCCAGGCATCCCCGTTGGACGCACGCACGATTTTGTACGGCACATTCTTCCTGTTCAGCAAAAACAAAAGACACACAATTACATACTGACATACTGAACTATTCCTACTGCTATGTACTGTACGCAGGTGTACTTACTTGTGCATATTTAAATCTATGTTCTGTGCGTACATTTTGCCATAGGTAGGGAGCAGCGTTTCCCACAGATTTTGCAAATATTTTTACTTTGCTTAAAACAGTCTTTGTATTTTATTTAATACTCTGTTAGTTTTCACTTGGCAACAATGAACTTCCTGTTAATTCCTAACCTCATGACAATTCTGTCCAGGTCAGCTTTTCTGCCTTTGCAGTAGGGACGGGCATTAGATGAAATTTTTCGTAATCAATCGTCGGAAGAATTAACGATCGATTATCGATTAATCATTAACGTTTTTATATTAAAATGATCATCATTATTATTACTATCTGCACTACTAATCTGCAGAAATCAATTCAGCTTTACGACATATAAACCGTAACGACTCTAGAGCCACATCAGCCCGTTTGACATTATAATGTGTTTAATTCATTTTTGTGCAACTCTCACAGAAACGAAACTTAAAACCGCATCGCTAATTTGCATAAACTAAGAGAAGATAAAACTACAGCTCTTGTGTCGCTGATGTGGTTCAATTTCTGTTGTATTAAAAGACATGACTCAGGTGAATACAGGTTAGTGTGACCAGATTTGCGTTTGTCAAAACCAGGACACCGTACGGGGGGAGGGAGGTGGGGACTCGTCATCGACATTGAGCGACTCTCACCTGGTAAAACTTTTTCCCACTGGACACAGAAACATATGTGCTGCTTTATACACTGTGCACATGGACTCACACTTGTCCCGAACGCAACAGAAAGCCTGGAATTTCTTGTACAAATCATCGTTAAATCCGCATTTGTGCTTCGGTACGTTACAGACTGACCCACTGTTTGTGTCTCGCTCCTTCTGAGTGCAGAGACACATGTACACACCTGTTTGGTCACGACACACACAGCAACCTACATTCGGTTTGTCGATTAAAATTAACGTAATCGATGAAATTCTTAATGATCAATTATCGATTAATCCATTAATCATGCCCATCCCTACTTTGCGGTTTAGTTTTTTTTTTGTTTTGTTTCCTTCATGTCAAGCTAACGTCTCATCAGCACATCAGAGTTGTTCAGTGAGGTCAGAAAGGAGTAAGGAAATGAGACAATATGCAGTGTCGAGCTGTGTCCATCACTTCAAGAAAAGTCACGTGACAGAAACATCTACTGTATCATTTGGTGTTGCTCGTGACGGAAGTCGTGTCGCTTCATCACCACAGAGAAACAGAAGACAGGCCTGTTCTGTGTCAGCTCATTTTGATCAGTCCCAAGTGGAGCTCACTACAGATTTACTGAAAGAACTATATTATTATACGTTTATTTTGCTATAATTTTCACAACCATTCACCTCTTCATGTATCACATATATGCTTCCTTTATTGTACAATAGGCTGTAATTTGATTTTCTGATTTTCTGCATTACCTTCTTGGTCAGTTCTTTCAGGTGTTTCAAGCAGCTAAAACCTGGAATAGGCTTCCTGAAGATGTGACAGGCCTCTACTTTGACGCTGTTTAAATCCAGGCTCCAAACGCTTCTGTTTAACTGTGCATATGACTGAAAGGTTTTCATTCTGCACTCTCCTCTCTCGTTTATGTAATTAATGTCTCTCTCTTTTTTTTTTTATTTAATCTTTAATTTTATGATGATTATTTATGTTTTAATTTGTTTTTATTGTGATTTTAATGTTTTTCTTATTCTGTAAAGCACTTTGAATTACTTTGTGTACGAATTGTGCAGTACAAATAAACTTGCCTTTCATTCGTTGGATATCAGATCACATCTATTACAAATGAGTGTTCACGTGTCTGAATGAACGAGCCCTGCCCTGTGTCCATGCTTCTGCATAGTGAGCAGTTCATTTTTAAACCACCAGATGGCGCCACAGACCGCACCAACAGTGTCACAGTGTTGGAAATGTGTTACACACGTTGAGGCCTCATGTACCCATCACTAAAAGGAGCCATGAAGCACTGCACTGCGCACATCCAACCCAAAATTTCCAAATAGTTATTACTTACAGCAGTTGGTAATACCATGTAACTTAAATAAAAACTTCTACATAAAAAAATCCAACTTTATAATATATAAAGCAGAACTGTCTAAAGCCACATCAGCCTGTTTCATGTTATAATCACATTATAATGTGTCAAATGCACTGTAAAAAAAAAACACATGGCAAATATGGGACAATGGGAAACAATGAGAGCTCACACGTCAAAACAAATTCATGTCCTATAGTTTCTTAAATATGGTGTTTTTATTCTCTAATGTGCAATGTTTTTTTCCCTGTGTCACTGCAGAGTCTCATACATGTTTATATTCTTTGATTATGATGGATTTGCGTGCGCTGGGCTTTACTCACAGGTCCTTCTGCACCTCGGGGTCGTCGTATCTGCGGCCGATCAGCCTCTTGGTGGCGTACAGTGTGTTCTGGGGGTTGGTGACGGCCTGGCGCTTGGCGGGCATGCCCACCAGACGCTCTCCCTCTGCGGTGAAGGCCACCACGGACGGGGTGGTGCGGGCGCCCTCTGCGTTCTCCAACACCTGCAGTCAAATGACATTTAGAATTGTTATAGCATTATTAATTCAGTATAATTACTATTTCGTTTTTAGAGATCAACCAATCTGTTTGTTTTTTTTTTGTTTGTTTTTTTATGACTGATGCAAATAGTTAATAATCCAGAGAAAACAATAGCCAAATTAAGAGCAAATTTTTATTATTTTTCACAAATTCCAGTGTTTCCCGTTTACAGAGAGCCTATGGAGGCCTCCCACAGTCTAAGGCTACGTTTACACAGAGCCAGGTTTGTTGAGAAACAAATATTTCCCTCCCTCTGTTTTCCAGAATAACATTGTGCACACAGCATCGTTTTCAAAAAAGTTTTTGTTTAAGTCAACCTGCATAAATACACCATCGAGCGGCGACATAATTACACCAAGACTATGGGCGGCACCTGGATTAGATTCAAACCTGTAGCATTTATTTCATTACAGTTGTAAGTTTTACTCAAAAACACCTTGAGAAACGTGCATTACTGAGCAGACTCGCCTCTCCACAGATCTGTTAAAGAAGTGGCAAAATAGCTGAACTCCGAGCCTCATTCGTCTCTGGTCGTGGATATGAAACATCAGCTGTGTGTGCAAATGAAAAACATGAAAAGTGTTTCACCAGAAGAAATGCGACTGCTGCTCTGATGCTCCATGATCATCATCAGAGCAAAAGGGAAACACTGGCCGCACTTTTGGCGCATCAGCTCCTAAAACTCCAGTTATCTCACTTTACAAGCAAACGCCAAGCTATAGTTTTCCAGAATCTTCACTCTGCCTCTGAAAACAAATCTTTCTAAAAACTCGTTTGTAGGGGTGTAACGATATCAAAGTCTCACGATGCGATATCGTCACAGTATGAACCTCACAGTACGATATTTATTGCGATATTGTGGGGAGGCTCACGATTAGGGATGTAACAATATCCAAATCTCCCGGTATGATATTTTCTCGATATACATCTCAAGGTACGATATTTATTGCGATATTTTGTGGAGGTTAACAAAACTGAATATGCGACTTTCCTCTTAAAATGCCTTGACAAAACTTCAACCAAAGAACTAAGACTTAAAAGTGCTTAGAACTGTTATTTCTTCTTGTTGTCTGCACTGAAATGGAGCAAAGGATCATGGTCTATGTAGTTTCCTCTGTCTATTGCCGCACCATAACTAGTCATTTAAGCAAAGAGACTTGTAATTCGATATATTGTGATGGTCCACGATATTACTGTGAGAACTTTGACGATACAATATCACGATTTCTCGGTTATTGTTACATCCCTAGCCGTCTGCAGTGTAAAAGATGGGTACAAACGAAGGGAAATGTCTCTAATTTTTTAAAAATACCTGTGTAGATGTAAACATTGTCTAAAATTCTCCCCCATAGTCTTAAAAAAAAAAAAAACATGGTCTTCACATTGGCACTGCAAAATCTTACTTTGGTGCTTTATATTGTCATATTGTTCGGCATCAAAAATGTTCAATTACGTCCTCTTCGCAGATGATACCACTATACTACTGCTCAGGTGAAGACCAAAGGCAGCTTTTTCAAATGGTGGAGAGGGAGCTGCAGAAAATAAAAGTCTGGTTTGATATTAATAAATTATCACTAAACATAGAAAAAACTAAATTTATGATATTTGCAAAGCGAAAAGTACAAAATCATGTACAAATTATGCTCAATAATACACCACTAGAAAGAGTCTTTCAAAATAATTTTTTAGGAGTAACTACAGATCATAATTTAAACTGGAAATCACACATTAATACAATTAGAAACAAATTATCCAAAGTGATAGTAATTATATATAAATATAGATATACCCTAGATAAAAACAGTCTTTTTATTATATATAACTCGCTGGTAATGCCCAACATAACCTACAGTATCGAGATTTGGGGCAATACATATAAGACTAATACAAAGCCAGTCTTTACCCTGCAAAAAAAGGCAATAAGAGCAATCACATTATCAACTTATAACGAACCAACCAATGCATTATTTATAAACCTTCAAATGCTGAAATTTTATGATTTAGTCGACCTTTATACTCTGAAAATCATGTTCAAAGTAAACAACAATCTCCTGTCAAAATCGTTACAGGACATGTTCAAAATCCAAAAGAGCCAATATGAGCTCAGAGGCACAGCCATGTTTATCAAAAAGAAAATAAGAACAAACATTATGAAATTTTGTAAATCTTTTAAAGGGCTGGAGCTGTGGAACAACTGTACAGAAAACCTAAAATTGTGCACCAGTGTCTTTCACTTTATAAAGAAGTTTAAATGTTTAACTCTGGACAGATACATGAAATATGAGACTTAGTTTGTGCTGTCGGACTTTGTTGTTCTGTTACTGATTAGTTTGTTTCCTCCTGCTGTATTTTTGAAGATGAACTGGTGTTAAGATGACGCTCTGACAAAGGAATAAAAGATAGGCATAATAAGCTTAAGCTTCAGCCGACACCTTTTCGGTCTGTGTATGTTAAATATGACTGTTTGTGAATTAATGTCAAAATATACCTGTGACCGAAATAAATCAATAAATAAAATAATAAATAAAAATAAAAAGTAACTACACTGTTCAAAAAGACAGTTGAATTATGAAATGCAGACAATGAATGACATTCAAACGTCATAAATTGTATGAAAGAAAGTTTTTGTACCATCAGTCTGAACAGTATCTATGAGAAACACTGAATTCTGTTATTTTAACTCACCCACTCCCCCCCTGCACATTCTTGTGATTTAATAATAGCCGTTATGTTTGTTTGTGATTCTCAAGATTACGTAACATGTCCCCCGAATGATTATTGTCGACCCTTTGATCGTCGATGCCAATAAAACGATTCTGAAGCCTCCGCTCTGTCTGTTTATTTTCCCTCTCTCACGTCTCCTCCCTCCGCTCTCCAGAGCAGCAGCAGAGCACTGAACAGACGTCTGCCGCTGCCGTCCTGTCCTCACAGCGCCCGGAAATGTCTCGGTGTTAAGGATCTGTCCGGGGCTGTATTTCGTTCATCGAAAAGACGCTCACACGCAACATCCTGAGCTGCGGCGCTCCGTTAGCGCACAGGGCGAACGTTTATCCGAGCTCGAGATAGAGACAGCTTCTTCATGTTGCGCGCTCAAAAAAAGCAGCATTAGAGCAGATAAACTGTTCTAAACTCGCTGTAGTTTCTCTAATAAAGTCTGCAGAGGAGCCAAAGAAAGACAGCAGATTTGCCATTTGTTATAACGGCAATAACATTTCCCTCCTACTACCGTTTTTTTTTTGGAGTACAAGTCACTTTTTTTCATGGTTTGGGTGTTTCCTGCGACTTATTAAAATTTTCACACTGAAGCGGCGAGAGGCTCTAGTCTTGTGTCTCAGTATCTGCTGCTCCCGTTACTCCTGTACCACTGTCACTTCACTCTACTGCGCATGTCTCCTGCAGAAAAAGCCGCTTTCCTGCTGCAAGTAGTGAAATATTCAGCTGAAAATGGTAATCAAGCAGCAGAAAGAAAGGTTGGACTTGTGAGGGACTGGTGGAAAAGCGGGGATGGAGAACACACAGCAACCAGGAGAATGGACCATGCAACTTTCCTGAAGTCACTGGATGCTTCGACAAAGCCTGGACTTCAGTGACACAGAAACCATCCTGTCGGGGTTCAAAAAGACCCGAATAATTCTAACTGGAACTGATGCCGAGTTTAACGACAGCGACACAGAAGAGGAAGCGGCGCTCTGTTTACCTCCAGAGGTCGAGGCCGAGTTGTTCAGAAGTGACACCGAGGATGAAGAATTGAATGGATTTATTGATCTGGAGAGTTTGTTAAACTTGTTCTGTTCTGTTATAGTTTATCTGAAGAACTGTTCATATGTGACGTTAACAGTCTGTTGTTCTCTCTTCTAGTGTTTTTACTAGAACTTGACTATCAAAATCAAATGTCAGTTTTCTGATTTTATCAAATAAATTTCCCCCTAAAAGTGCGACTTATACTCCAGGGCAATTTATAGTCTGAAAAATATGGTAATCTAATCTTGGTCACAGAAAAACAATGCAATTTGGCCAATTAAATAAAGCAATTGTGTTGAATAAAAGTAATTTCTTCATCCTACAGCTCTACACATGTAAAAAGTAGCCATTCATTTGATACAATAGCAAAATGCAGAAAAACTAAGCGGATAATCAATAATATGTGCCTCAGAATCATAATCGAACCGTCAGACAGCCATAGATTTAATAATGTATTGTACTTCAAAAATTTCTATAATGACAGGCCTATCCACAGCAAACGGGTTCTCCCTTTTCCATTTCCATGATTATAGTTTTAGTCCTAATTTAGCCTCGTTTGCTCTGGCTGCTCTTATTTGAACAACAGATGTATTGGATAAGTATCCTAATACAATTTGCCATTTTTTAAATCAGTATTCAGTTCACAGTGCACAATTTAGCTACACCTGGGAGTATTAACACCCAACAGAGGTAATAAACTAAAGTCTAAACTACAGGGTTAGCAGGTTTTACACATTAAACACATCAAGTGACTCACAAATACGTTCAGGCCTCTCTTAACTGTTTCCCCCATGAAGACGACATTTGACGACCCCCCTGAACCCTTAATGACGACTTTTGACACCTCCGCCGTTTCACTAAAGACGTGATTTGACGACCTTTAGAAATGGCTCGGTTTTTCACATGTAAACAGAGGCTGTGATCGGTGGGGGCCACTACAACCCACACTAGACTGACCAATAGGATTCAAGGATATGGTTTCGCCGATTTTTTCCGAAGTTAATCGAAAGAGTGATGATGGTAGCTTCCGGAAAAAAAACACAACATGAAACACGTGCAATGGAAAGATCACGGCACTGCACAGTTTTAGAAATAATGAGGAGCGGACGTATTTTATGGATAAGTTTAGAGAAAGTGACTTTTATAGATTTCAAAGTGATGATGATGAAGTTGATTATAAAGTGGAAAACCACGACAGCGACGGACTTTTCGGGGAGAAGGTGAGAATGCAGCTGATGTGTCTGTGTGGAGTCCTGCGATATCCGAACAAACTATCTGAGCTTTATACTCGATTATGAACCAAAATTGCCCTGAAATCTGGATGTTGCCCAGGCGAGTCCTTTAAAATATTTCAGTCTTTTTTTTCCAAGATGCGATGTATAACAGAATCGCGACAGAAAAAAACGCTTATGCGGAACTCTGCACACGAGAAAGTGACCAAGATGACAAATACTGGACACAAACTGACGGGGAAGAGTTTTTATTATTATATATTATTATATTATAATAAGCTGAAAATAAATGAATAAGTTGAATAAGCTAAATGAGTTGAATAAGTTAAAAGGAAAAAAATGAATTAGCTCCACACAGGTGAACAACAGGTAAAAACAGGTGCACACTTGGCTATACTGTATCTGGTGATATGAAATCTGTTTAAATACTTTGACAAAGTATATTTTTTATTTTTTTTATGAATATAGTACTCAGAACATGCAGATATCAAATGCTGAATGTAGTTTTTTGTTTTCGAGTTTGCACCTGACCAGGTGAACTCTCATTTTCAGTGAGCTGTTATAAACCTATAAATGAGTTGAATTCACATTTAAACATCCAGAAATGAAGAGTTCAGAGTCTAAGGTTTCCAGAGATACAAATATGTCTGTGTTACAATTAAGTTCATGAGTGTAAAAATCATTTATAATCACTCGTGGAAGTCTGTTTTCTTTTATGCAGTTATGCTCTATGGGTAGAACTAGTAACATATGTATGGGTTGTTCCTAGTCGGCGTCCAGGGGGGAAAGAGTTAAACGAATCAACGGTGAGACTCATGAACCTATTTTACTTGGTCACATTCTGCGGCAAATCACAGAGCAACGACAGCTTCACTCTGGCAGCACACGGGGCTGAGTTCACGTCAGCGTCACTGACCTTGGCCTGTTTGCCCTCCATGACGGCCACACAGGAGTTGGTGGTGCCCAGGTCAATGCCGATGACCGAGCCGCGGATGGCCTCTGACCTGCAACACACACACAACCGCACAGGGTCATTTAATATGTACACAAACAAAACGCCAAACCAAACCAAAATTATTCTTAGCTTCACAGGATTTACTACTGATGAAAGCAATTTTATAGTAAGTCTGTCCTTGTTGTGGTGTCGTTTATAAACTGAGTTTGGAAGATCAATTCCTGCTGAGATCAGTGCGTGTTGTGTCCTTAGGCACCCATGTGTGAATGTGACGTTTGCCCCAGGGCATATCGTATCATTTAATGTGACAGTACAGTATCGATATCGTGGGCTGTTGTATCGATACATCATAGCCAAGAGGATTTTTTTGGTATATTTTACTAAATTATTTTCTTAAAGCGCTACAGTTTTGTTTGTTTAGTGAAAGGAAACTTGTTTATGCGACACATTTGACATTTTCACAGTTTGGATGATTAAATAGTTTGTGTTTCATTGGTTTGGTTTTAAAAAGACTTAGTATCACAGCCATGATTTAGCCCAGGAGTGTCAAACTCATTTTGGTCCGGGGGCCGTCTCCAACCTACTTTAATCCCTAAGGGGCCGGATCAGAAACTCATTCCCCAAAAACAGCAATAAGTTCAAATATTTGTGCAGAGAAACGCAAATCTATGACAGAAATCTTTTTTAATTGATGAACTCTTTCTTTTACAAAATATTATAATATTATGAACAACCTGAAACTTTAAGAAAAATGCAATTTCAACACAAAGTTTTAACATGAACTTGTATGTAAATAGGAATAAGTCAATTTTTCTTGTAAAATCCTGCACTCGGCTCCACTTTTCTCATGTTGGACATTTTTCTGATGAGGGTGTCACGGTCAACAGTCAAAACGATCGTCCTTTAAGAGCGTTTGGAAAGAGACAAATCTTCATTTGTGCTGCTCTGGTGGGAGGGGCCACGTACAGAGACACTGGAGATGCTGCTATGCTCAGCACTGCAGAAAATTACCAATATTTTAATAGAAAATATAATTAAAATATTTTAGTAGAAAATCAGCCGAGGGCCATATTAAAGGTCTTGGAGGGCCGGATCCGGCCCCCAGGCCATATGTTTGACACCCCTGATTTAGCCTTTATTTTTTATTGAACCGTACAAAATCAATTTAAAATATATCGTATCGAACTGTAAGCTCACTGTATCGAGATATGTATCATATCGGTAACTTCTGAATCACACCCAGCTCTAATTATGATTCAAATAAGCACTGGCATGTGGACGTGCAGCAGCTTTAAGTGTGGTGGCCAGTCAGGACTGCACTTGTAACTTTAAAAAAAGGTCACACTTTAATACAGCACTTTCCCATCTTCAATTATAACAATTATTCACAGATTCATTCAGTCACACTGGAGGAGAGGTAGGTTAAGTGTCTTGCCCAAGGACAACAATGATTATGTCGAAAGCGGGATTCAAACCTCAAACCTTCGGATCAGTAGGGGTGTGCAAAAATATCGGAATATTGATATATCGTATCGTTTAATGTGATGATACAGTATCGATATCATGGGCTACTGTATCGATATATCACCAAGAGTATATTTAGGTGTGTTTTAATAAATTATTTTGTTACAGAGCTACAGTTTTGCTGCTTGTAGAGTGAAAGGAAGCTCATTTATGCAACACATTTGACATTTTGACACTATTTTGAGGATTAAAATGTTTGTGTTTCAGATGAACTTTGCACAAGAAGTGGTTTAACAAAGGCTTTTAGTATCACAGCCATGATTTAGCCTTTATTTTTTATTGAACTGTATTGTACAGATTTGAAATATATCGAATCGAAAGTGCACTGTATCGAGATATGTATCGTATAGTGGCCTGTGTATCGAGGTATGTATTGTATCGGCAACTTCTTAATGACACCCAGCCCTACGGATCAGTGGACAAAGACTCTACCAACTGAGCTACTGAGTGTATAGTCCCAATCATGACTGAAATAAACACAGACATGTCGACTACTAAAGATTTAAAGCCTTGAGTGTGGTGTTCAGTTAGTGCCGCTCTTGTAACTTTAATAAACGACCATCTGATTCCTGGACTTATTTGGTTTATAGTTCAGGATACTCACGCATAGTCTCTTCTGGACAGAACTCTGGATGCATCTGGATGGAAGCTGCTCCAACAGGCCTAGAACACAACACGACAAGGTCAACAACAAAGTAAGGCCATGAGTGAGTATCACTTACACAGAGCTTTAATTAAATACAGCATAAAGCACTTTTTTACTTATTTATTGACCTTTATTTAACCAGGATAATTCCACTGAGATGTTTTTTAGTTTCCCAGCATACTTATGGAAACATCATTCAGATTCTGAGCATAATTCAAATTGAAATCATGATTAAAAACTTAAAATTACAGTATTTTTCCAACTATAAGGCGCACTTCAAATCCTTAAATTTCCTCAAAAATCAACAGTGCGTCTTATAATCTGTTGCGCCTTAATTCTGTATTAATTCTGGTTGCGCTTACTGACCTTGAACCGATTTTATGTGGTACATGACGCTCAAAAAATCTGTCAAAATGTTTTAGTACGACTTTGGTAAACTACGAAGCCGCAAAGCCTGATGGACTGTCGGAGCGTTACGGCTACTGTAAGTCCAACAGGAGCTCAGTGGCAAAAGGAGCAAGCTGTTTTTTCATCTTTTTTTCCTATTCTGAAGTAAAATTTTAAAACTAAAACATGTCTAAACTGTTTTTTTTGTCAAAATCTTAACTTTAATAATTTAGTAAAATGAGCAGTCTAACCTGTTGTATTCACTTTAATACCATATGAATAAATAGGTTAAGGACAGTAGTGTTGCAGTATAGTAATTTTCTTTTTTATTTTCTTAAGGTAACCCAGTGTAAATCATAATTACAAAATAAAAAAAAATAAATAAATAATAAAAATAAAGAGACTACACAAAATAAAACTGCAAATAAAAAACAAAAAATTCCAAAATTAAAAATACGAAAAACTATTAAAATAAACCTAAAATCAAATAAAAATTTAAAAAATAATTTAATTGACACTGAAAAAAGGGCTCCACTTTGCTGTTATTTGGCAGTAGACTTACTATTCAGCAGTATTTGACAGGTGTGTCTTACATTTTTTCTTGAGTTTAATAATTCTCCCATTTATCCCACAATGACTGATTGATTAGTTGCCCCAAAGACCTTTAATTTTAAATGTGATTTGTTTCATTTCTTTGGTTTTCTTAATCAGATTTTTCCATTCGTCTATAGTTCGGCTATTTCTTTGTAACCAGTGAGTAGTAATCACTTTCAGAGCACTCTTAACTGCTTTTTGACTGTACATTTGTTTTAATTATTATTATTATTATGACGAATGGCAATACTCAGAATACATGACATGACAAATGGAATGCCAGGGGGAGGCATACATAAAAAAAAACCTTAAACAGTGCCACATTGGACTAAGATACTAACAGATATATAACTTTCATGTCAATGTGGGTTTTTTTTTGTTTGTTTACACTACTTGACACTACTACTACTACACTACTATGTCTCTCTTTTTTAATTTTAATCTTCATGATTATTTATGTTTTGTTTTTATTATGATTTTAATGTATTTCTTATTCTGTAAAGCACTTTGAATTACTTTGTGTACGAATTGTGCTATACAAATAAACTTGCCCTGAAATAGTGGATAGGTAGAATTCTATGTTATTCGGTTCTTTTTTCAGACCAAGGGTTTGTTTTCATACCTGACAGTTTCGACTGCTCACTCGTGGTCTTTCTCAGAGTGGTCACGTGATGTTGCTGTGACGTGTCTGGTCAATTTGGCGCTGTGTTCCTATTGGTTTTTTACTCACACACCTGGGATACTGTCCTGAGGAAGTGGGACTGCAGATGGCACTGTCATCCTGCCTCCACCAGTAGGAAAACATGGCCAAAATGTCTTTACATCAGCAGAGCGACACATCACAGCAACATCACATGACTCTGAAGAAGAGCGCTAGTGAGCAGTCAAAACTGTCAGGTATGAAAACAAACTCTTGGTCTGAAAAAATAACCTAATAACATAAAATATTGGAAGACCAAGTGAATCTCATTGGACTATGTAGAATTCTAATTGTTTAATTAGAACAGGAAAAAACAAAGAGATAAGAGAATTTACATTTGTGAATATAAAACTTGCCAAATATAATAATAATAAAGTTAATTGCCTTTTTTTTTTTTTTTACCAAAAAGAATATGTTCAAATTTTAATGAAAAGTCAGGGTCAATGCATTTTGACTGAGCAACATTACAGCATGAAGGTCGTTTCATTGAGGACAACTACTTCATCCCAAAAACTCCATCAACAAATGCTCAACAGTTCACATTGAAGACATCACGTGACTAACCACAGACACATGTCAATAATTTAGTAATTTGCTCAGCACAGCAAGCATCTATTAGTAAAATATATCAATACAACTACACGAATTACTAGCCCTAATGTCAATAAAGACTGTGCCATTTTAAACAAGAAGAGGTTTAACAATGATTTGCAAACCCAAAATCCCAAAATGACCAGTCTAACCTGTTGTGGACACTTTAACCTATTTATTCATTTGGTTTAAAGACAGCAGAATTGCAGTACAGGCGTTTTGGAGAAGAAATACGGGAGGATGTTCGCACTCCTACATGAATATAAATTTAAAAAAAAGATTAATCCACACATTTGTTCTGTTGCTGGCTCTGGCCTGAGTCTCTTAACTTCATTTAGACTGGTCCACATGTGCAACGTTGCAGCATGAAGGGGGTGGGGACACGGACTGAAGGTCATTTCACTAAGGACCACTTCTTCATCCCAAAAACTCAATCAACAAAAGTGTAAAGCCTTAATGTCAATAAGAAGAGGTGTGTTAAATTTTAGTACATTTGTTCAAGCCTGGATTTTTCTTCTTAATTTTGCCATTACCCCATAACCAAGTGTTACACATCTTTTTTTTTTTATTATGTCACAATCTGCTGCTGTATTTGTGTCATATGGCTGTAATAAAACCTATATGACCAGAAACACAAATGAAAAAAGAAAAACAGAATATAAATCATACAAACCACGCAGCAAACATGTATTAAAAACTTTTGGACAATTAAAAAAGCTTAATTTAGGGGGGCTTAGGTACAAAAATGCAAAATATCAAGTCTGTAAGTAAATTTAATGATTCGCAGGCCCAATAGTTTGCACTTTTACCTGTTTTTTAAGGGACATGACGGATTTTAAAACTACAGTTCACATCAGACACTACAAATCCGATCAAATGTTTTATTTTGGACTAAAACAACTACTTTTTTGCTATGATAAGACCAGTTTTTCAGAAGATTTCAGACGTGACATGAGGCGCCGGTAGCAGTCATGTAACCGGTGGCCTTGGCTTAAGAGGTGACATGCTAAGCTAGCCAAATCGGTATAATGCGCATAAAAAAGCGCGGTTTCGCTTTTGCGCATAGCTTAAACCGATTTGGGACCACGGAAAGACGAGTGCTCACCTTCTTGACGAGGGAGGACACGCTTCGGACGGAGTTGACCGTGGGGAGAGTCCTTGACACGGATCTGGCTGCGCTCAGCATGGTGGTGACGCGGATCGGGCAGGACGCAGAAGTCACTAAACGTGGGGAAAATCCGCACAAAACGGCGTTAAAATGCGAGGCGGTCGGGCAGGCGATGGTGTTCCCGGAACGGTGCGGGGGTAGCGGGCTGAGAGCCGAGAGTGTAGCCGCGGTTCGGGGTCTGAGTGGCTCGTGTCAGCGGCCGCGGATGGGAAAGGAACTGCGCTTCTGGAACGATCTAAAAACACATGTTGCACCACGCACCGCCCGAGGACCCCGCGGAGAGCCGACCCAAGCGCCGCCTGACTCAAATCAAGCACTTTAACAGATTTTAAACTAATAAAATGCGCGTTACGATTAAGTTTTAATGTGTGTATGGGGTTATGTAATAAAATTGGTGTAATGCAATAAGAGAATTTGAAAAATTTGAAAAAGGAAGCGGTTATTTGTATGTTTTTTGAACAGGCGTGATAAAAGGCACGTGTAAGCTGTGGGCATGTGAAGGTCATGATGTAACCATGGATCTACGGACGTAACAGGAAAAAAAGGTGAAAACGAAAAGTTGACAATAAATAAATAAATAATTAATTAATTAATTAATTAATTAAAAATGAAAAAGATAATATTCATGTTATTAAATACAAAGCTGAGTACTATTTTTCATGTGCACGTTTTACTTTTACCTAAAGGTGCACTGTGTACTTTTTGGGGTGGACGAGTCAGCCATTTTTTTTTTTTTTTTTTTTTTTACAGATAATGAAATATACATAACTCTCGACGGGAGATAACACTGCCTTGTATGTACTTAAAAAAGTAAAAATAAAAAAATAAAAAAAATAATAATAATAAATGAAAATAAAACCACAAAACTTACAGGCCAGTCCATATAAGTCATTATATTCATACATTATCATTGCACATTTTTAAGATTCAAAACATAAATATTTGGATACATCATTACATTACATTATATGTCCTTGTAGGAGTCCTTGTTAGAATCCTTTAGGAGCGACATAGAAGCAAAACATGACTGTAATTCAGATTTAAACAACAAAAGAGATGGATTTCTGTTTTGCCTTTTACTTTTATGTATGTGGCATTTACACATAATCATAATTACATTGCAAAGTCGCAATAGTTCTTCTGGAAATTTGTTTATACCATAAAGTACTTACTCCAGATTAATTGAACGGTTATAACCATCTTAATTTTCAACCAGGTCATTAGATTATTCCAAAAATGTTTTGTCATGCCACAGGAGAAAAAGAGATGCTCGATTGTTTCCTCCTTTTGAGAGCAAACGACAAGTTGATAGTTCATCTGGAAATATCCCGGTATGGCATTAAACATATTCATCTTACATTTACTTAACAACATGGGTTTTTACTGACTTAAAAACTTGCATTCTTACTGTGAGTGGGCTCGCCTTTCCACACATCTGATACGTAACTTGGCTTCATGCTGTCTCTATGGAGATAAATAAGTGTAATGCCATAACGGGAAACATTCCAGGCAACATCTCCATGGAGAGAAGCTGGTGATGGACCCTCCACAATAAAAAAGTTACACAGTGCACCTTTAAGTAACATTTTTGGAAGCAGTACTTGCAAAAAAAAAAAAAAAACTACACTTTTACTCAAGTACACATTTGCAGTACTTTTTCCGCCACTGTATAAATTATAAGAACCGTAACAAGTAATTACATTATTTACTATATAATATCATATGTACAGGATAGATGCTTTGACTTTTAAGGCTTCCCGAGTTCCAAACAAGTTTACAAATAGGCTACGTATTTAATTTTAAGTCCAACAGAACAATGAATAGTCTCAAAACAGCTGAAACTTTGATCTACATTCTTATTTACAACGATGAGGCTGCTGTGAGTCATTTATACCACTAGAGGGCAGCAGTGCATGGCTCTGCTCGTGCTCGCACTGGGACGCCTTTGCATCAGCCATGACGCAGCATATTCCTTTTACAGTTTTTTTTTTTTTTTTTTTTATTTTTTTATTGTCAGTCTCTTCCACACTAAAGCTTACATTTCGGCACAAATTCCAAAACTTCCCCCTCAAAGAATAATACTCAGTTCATCTTATCGACATTTTCAAGCCTTAAGTCTCAGATCAAAACTACAAAACACTTTTTGCACTTAAAACACAATGATAAACTTTAGACACAGATTGCAATTGTTAACACTCACCTTGCATTTGCTATAGTTTATCTAAACACTGCACACACTCAATTTGACTCAATTATTATTAGAGCTGCCCGTCGGTTACAGACTATAGAGACATTATTTATTTAAAGTGTTGTTATTATTTGATATTTTGCTTGTTCAGGGTTCAATTTTTAACCAAAACTATTATTAAACATTTATTTTAGCAAGAAAAGGTTTAACATTACATATCTCGAAAAAAGAGAAAACATGCAGATGTTGTTGAAATTTTTCAATAAATATTTTATTTGGTGTACGACATAGTCCCAGTTTTTAATTTTGAGCTTGACACCCCTGCTCTAGAATTTGTTTTTACACTGAATAAAAATGTAATAATAATAATAATAATAATAATAATAATAATAATACATCTTTATTTGTAAAGCACTTTTAAAAGCAAGTGTTGTACAATAAAAAAAGCATAAAAATAGCGCACAGAAAGCACAAAAACAGACAATGATGCAAACAATCCAATAAATTATAATAAATAAATAAAAAGAAATAGAATCAAATTTGTGGTCATACCGGTTTGTCAAAGTCTGATCCCCTCAGACGCTCAGATGCTCAGCAGGTCCGGGTCTGGTTTGTACTTGGATGGAGATGTAGGGAAAAGCAGGAGCCACAGGGGGGCGCCAGTGGCATGTTGTGTCCTTAGGCAAGACACTTCACCCACATTGCCTTGTATGAAAGTGGTGTGTGTGTGTGAGATGGTGGTGGTCGGAGGGGCTGATGGCGCAGATTGGCAGCCTCGCTTCTGTCAGTCTGCCCCAGGGCAGCTGTGGCAATAAAAAAACATAAATAATCAAATCAAGCTAAAACCAGTTAAAGGAAGGCCAGCTGATAAAAATTTGTTTTAAGAAGTGATTTAAAAGCTGATCCTGATGGTGTGAGCTTTAATTCCTCAGGCAGGTTGTTCCAAAGCCGAGGCACCCAGACTGAAAAGGCTCCATCATCTTCGTCCGGAGCCTGGACTTAAACTGACATTAAACTGACTTTAGAGATACTGTTTATGGTCACTTTTATTCACATTTTTTATTTACATCAAATCAAAGTCAAATCAAACTTTATTTATAAAGTGCATTCATTGATTCAAATAAGTAACTCAAAGTGGTTTACCGTCATTAAATAAACAGCCCCACGTGCCCTTCCACCCCCTACCCCCACAACTGCCCCACCAAACACAAACTTACAACCCACACACAGGCACATGCAGTTTGACGCGCACACACAAACACACACACACACACACACACACACACACACACTAAAAACCATCATCAGGCCAGATACAGATAAGAGAGGCTGAGTACGACATTTGTCCTGAATGTCAGAGTCCTTGTTTATGCTGCTGAGTCTTTAGTACTACTGTGTTATTATTTATATTACTATGGATTTAGAAACCGTGTAAGTGAGAGACATGTAACAGCTCTACACTTCTGTACTAATACTATAGACGAGACCGGAGGAGCTGGAGGACATGTCTGGGGTGAAGGAAGTCTGGGAGTCCCTGCTTAGACTGCCGCCCCCGCAACCCGGCCCCGGATAAGTGGAAGAAAATAGATGGACTATAGCAGTGATTCTCAACCACTATGCCGCGGCACACTAGTGTGCCGTGAGAGATCGTCAGGTGTGCCGTGAGAAATTATCCAATATCTTTTTTTTAATTTAATTTTATTAATTATTACCTGCAAACATTATGTCATTGTCGAGTGTCCGTGCTGTACTTACTACAGCACGGACACTATACTACAGTGTAGTATATAATGACTGGCAGAGTGATCTAATATTCGTCCGGGTGGCGACAGGCAGCTAAATGCCTCGTTCCTTTAAAACAGAGGTGCTCAATACGTCGATCGCGATTTACCAGTCGATCGCCAAGGTCGTGTGGGTAGATCGCCGTGTCTCGTCTCGGACTCGATCGCGTTTAGACTCGGTCTTGTCTCTCACTCAAGGTCTGACACTCAACAAGTGCGATCATATTTCATTATGGCCGCTGCTGTTGGTAATAAACTTGTACAGGTGTGCCAGAGCGTGTGGGGCGTCTCAGTGCAGCCTGTGTGCTCAGTGCAGCCTGCAGAGACTCTACGGCAGATCACAAACACACACGCTCCCTATGCACGGCTCGTCTGCAACAGCGTGTGCCCTCGTGTACCAGCGTGCATCACAGGGCAGGTTCAACTTCCTAAACATCCTACCTGTCCATCTGCCTCACGTCAGCACGCCGCCCCTCGCCTTTTCACGCTCTCGCTCCTTCCTGCGTACAGCGAAAACAAAGCAAGACCAAAACGTCAGTCCGTTACAGTGTTAAGCAGGGCGGATCTACAGAACAGACCTACTGCCACATTTGGCTGAAATTTGCCTAACAAAAGTGCACAAATGCATCTGTGTTTGTCACGATGTGTGTTTGGTTTGGTAAACGTGCAGAGGCTGGTAAATATCACTGCAAAACCAGAAAAGAATGCAACTCCAGTTTGGAACTTTAAAAAACAGGTTTAAAAATCTTCCTTCACTTTTGTCACAGTTTTGTTAAAGTGCCAGAGGAAGTTCTCTTAAAGAAGAGGTTCTCAAACTGTGGGTGAGGGTCCAAAAAAGGGGCACAGAGTGTTTCAGTGCAGTTTGTTTGGCTTTGTATTAGGTAGATCTTTATGACTTGGTCATTTTGTAAGTAGATCGCATGCTGAAAAAGTGTGAGCACCCCTGTTTTAAAAGAATTAGTAACGCATGTGCATGGTGACAGTCATGGAGAAGTTTTTAAAATGGATGAATGCAAACTCCGAAATGGGCCCTGGACAAGATTCTGACCCAGAAGAAGAGCTTTTCAAGCTTAACTGCTATAAAAACTAAAAACAGAGAGAGACTGAGAGCTGTTGATGAAGAGCTTTGTGTGTGTCTTTCTTCTATTCCTGCAGGATATCAGCTTTGTGTTCATCTAAACAGGCGCAGGTCTCACACTGAGTAAGTAGAAATTAATGTAGAAATTATATTGTAATTAAATATACTGTATAGTGTCATTTTGTAACATTTTGG